TCGAGATATGTATGTTGTAATAGTAGGAGAAAGGAAGGAAAGGATAAAAGGAAACGGAACATTTCGATGACGGGAAAATGCCAGAGTCTATGTATAGTAAACTCTATCACGCAAGCTTTGTGTATGCATGCGGGTAGATAATCAAATGCTTGAATGTTTCGAATATTCGACTCGAATGATTTCATGGAAATTCGAATATTCGAACAAACGTGCTCGATTTATCCGAAGCAAAACGATGAACTCAAATATTATCGATCGTGTCGAATATCCAAGAAGTATTAAGCTGTTTCTGACTTTATAAATTATCACAATTCATCGGGTAATTTATAAATTATCGCCTATCTTATTTTGGTCAGTGAAATGTTGAATTTTCAAAAAGTTCATATGCATCTTTTGGATTTGGATAAATGGAGAGTATATAAATAATTGAAGTAGAATTAAATTTCTGATCGAACTTGCTCGATTGATCGAACTATTTGAAGTATTAATCGAATAATAGGTTATTCGAGTCAGTACGATAAGTCGAGTTCTATTCGATTTGATAAGACAATTTTCGATTATTCGACCCATATAATCGAGTATTCGATTCGAATCGGTAGAAAAAATTTTATTCGACCAGAATATCAAATACTCAAAGCAGTTCGGTAAAGTGTGTTTTAATCGTCTCGAACCTCGAATAATCGAATATGCTTCGAATGCTCTCGAGTACTTGAACTTTCAATGCAGTATATAATACTCCGCTGGTATGTAATCGCTGATTATTTAAATTAATATTTCAAATTTCCCACGAAAGCAACGCTATCGAATAGTAAAATGAATAGGAAAAATAAACATCGAAAAAATAACTGGGAAGTCGAGCGGGAAAATATGAAAGTTTAAATTTAACGTTTTAGGTTAACAATTTGTTAACTAGGATCTTTATTAAAACGTGTAGGATGAAAGTGTTACAAAAATCGATCGTTGATTTAATCAAGGGTATCGATAATTATTTTTAAGTGTTATTTTAAATGTACAAACTCGATTAATCGTTAAACTCAGTTTACATGAAATAGCGTCAAAAATGATTAGATGAATATGCGTTGAAAATTTATATTCCAAAAGGTTTACTTTCTGATTTAAGAATCGTCATATCATAACTATAAAAGCTATAAGCTCGACGTATGTTATTATAGCAAAATCTTTTTTGAAAGGAAGGCTAAATTCACGTCATTATTCGTGCAGGAAAATTAATGAACAAAACGTAATGTTCGGTCACAGTTATTACATAAATCGAATGTCTATCATGTGTAACGTGATTTAGGAGAGAAATAGCGACGTATATATTACAAAACATTCTCTAATAGAAGACGCCCGAATTGTGATACGTTTTTAATGTTTATAAGCCGATACGTGTTTACGGAAAGAATTGATCGAATTAAGGCCCATCGTTCAACCATCTATTCGCGCTCAGCAATGTCGTTTACACTGCAACGATCTGCATCGATCATTTCTTGTTCTTCACACCTGGTTATTGCACGTACACTCGTTAGCCGCGCGAATGATCGTTGACATGCGCCATATTTTATCAAGATATCGATACGAGCCTTAATTTTGACAGTGAAATATCCGACTAATTCAAAGTATAATAAACATAAGAACTTGGTTAATTCGAATCTATTGAAATTTAAGATTTTAAGTTTCTAGTTACACAAATATGTGCGAAATAATTTTCGAAAAAGTAATTACATTTTATAAAAGCTTCGTTTTAAATGATTTTTAAAAGAGTCAATTACTTTGGAATACTTGGATTCGGTTTTATCGCGTGCTTCGAGATTTCTTTATTACCAACTTATTGTCGATATCTTGATCATATTAGTGCAGCATTTTCTTCCGTGAACAGACATCGTGTATCTTGTTAAACAATAGAAATTATTCCGACAAATTCACACATATAACTAAAGTACATGTGTGAATTTCCAATTCGATGTACGTATACACAGGTTAGGTGAAATATGTACGAAACGTCGTTAATCGAGAATAGAATTAAACGATAACAAATTAAATTGATTATTAAGAAACTTGCTTTTTTATCAATTTTAATTTTGCGAGATTAATTGAAATTTCAATTTTGCAGGAAATGTATGCATACGAAACAGAAAGGGAAATATATTATAAATTAATATGCGATTTTTATCAATCTTTTATTGGTTAAATATTAACGATCTATTCTTGATTAACATTGAAACGATGGACAAAGTCTCTCGATCGAAATCGAGGAAGCGATAGAGAACAACTTCAAACATATAGTTCGATGAGAAAAAACGGGGACGCGCCGGAAAACTATTTAAAATTCCGACAGAAATGAAAAGCAAGAAGAACCGGCTGATTTACTTTTCACAGTTTTAATTGAATACATGCGTAAGAAACAATGGACACTTCATCCTCCGCCAACGGATAAACGCGAAATTGAAAATTGCGCGGGTCATGTGTTTAAAAGAAGCAATTACCCTAAAAGAATCGCGCGTAAGAGTTACTTTGGTGTTTTCGTTGAAAATGAAAAAAAAAACAAAAAATAAAATCCCGACTTATTTACGAGGTAGATAATAAAAACAACAATAATAATAATTAATAATAATAAATGAACTCTAGCTATCACTAAAAAACGACAATAATAAATGATAGTGATAAATAACAGTAATTCAATTCATATTTACATTTCAACTAAAATATTTCCTTTAAATATCCATAACAATAATTAATAATTCCACACTAATTCTTTCAACCCTTAACACTCCATTGGCGCCACTACGACATAATTAATCTGCAATTAATCTGATTTTAATTATGTT